AGAGTGATCCTGCTACGCCATGCGCAGCTCCAGCGCAAGCTGCTACACCACGGAGCCAGGAGTAGTCAGCTGTGCTGTCCAGGTCGGTGTAAGCGCACCCTGTGGTGTTCCCATAATGAAATCACTTCTTAGAGGGGATCCCTGTCATTAAGGGATGCATGACTGCACTTTCCTCGTAAGGCGAGGACAGTAGATGGGACAATAGAAAAATAACTGATCAGTTAACAGGTTAACAGAAATGAAGTCAAGGGAACTTCACTATGCTGATTGAAACTGGCATATATGAAGAATTTGTTATTTCTGGTTCTCCTGATTTCTCAGAGGGTCAATAATCGGCTTAGTTTGGCTTGGTGACGTGGCACTTTAGCATGAGTGACTCCATTTTGATTTGGAGTCTGGTGGCTTGTTGGGGTCTAGTGCAGGAGCTCAGTCCAAAACGACGGTCAATATGAAGATGTAACAAGAAGATGAGTGTAGACCAGGAGTTCTCCATGGGGGTTGGTGGGGGCAGGGGGAGTGGGGGAGATAGCCCTTTAGGGGACATTTGGCAATGTTCAGACACTAGGTTGTCACCACTGGGAGGGGTAGAGATTGGGGGAGCTGTTCACTTCCCAGCAAGGTAGTGGCCATGCTACTGCCCCAGAGAACCTTCTGGGAGAATTTTGTGGCTTCCTGAGCTGTGGAGAGATCTGGGCACTGAGGGGCTGCTCAAAGCCAACGATGGTGCAATGGGCCGGAGAACTGTCCCGCCCTGCTGCGTGTGCAGGACAGTGGCTCCTGTTCGCCGTGAAGCGCCTCCCGTTTTGCCAGGGGCCTTGCTTGGCCCTGTCTGGTGGTCTCCATGTTGGGGTCTGAGCCACAGTTTCACCCCACCAAACACAAGGAGGCCGGCCAGGCCTCATAGGATGCTGCCATCACAGGCCAGGCCAAGCGGTGATCCCAGGTGTCCTGAAGGGCGTTCAGGTCCTAGTTGGGAGCCAGCAGTGTCACACTGCCCCTCACATCCACACAGCCTTCTGAGTTCTGAATGGTCCTTGACACTCACCCAGACCCTGGAGCCAGGATGACTTGAACCTCAAGTCCATTTTGCAGGTGAGGAAAGAAGCTGTCACACTCCGGATCTTAGCCTATGCCAGTGGGACTCCAGAGTCCGGATTTCTTCCCCCTTGACACAGGGTCTCCCATCTCATGGTGGGTCTGGGGAAACCTAGGCCACTCAGGGTGGGCACCTCAGCACCCTGGGCCTGCTGGGTAGCTGGGGGCTCAGGGTCTCAGGGGGGCTGCGATAGGTGGCAGATGGGGTTGGACCCTACAGGGCTGAGGGAGCTGACCCAGCCAAGGCTGAACCAACTCTGGTCCCCAGCAACCCTTGGTTTATGGGGAGACATGCATTAAGAAACATCTATAAACCGAGTCACAGGGTAACAGCCCTGATCCAGGGAAGCTTGGCGTGGCCAGGGTGCCCACAAGTGGCTTCAGACCTTTTTTCTGTCTCGAAGGACATCTGTCAGCTCCTGGTTGTGCCCAGGGTGGGCAATGTCTACATTTCGAAGTCCTCCTCAAATAGACCCCCGGTTCTCAGCGATGATCTGTTTCCTGAATATCAGGGAAGACCCCTCGGAAGGGCTGCGGGGGAGGGAGGGCCTCTTCTCCGCTCAGATGACCCCTCGTCCTTCACTCAGTGGTTCTCTCCCTCGTGGCGGTCCAAGTTGGCAGTGGGGTTCGTTTGCTCCTGACCCGGCTCCTTGACTTGGTGTCCGTCAGACTGGGACATCCCGGAGCAGAGGCTGTCTCTCCCATTGGATAGGACTCTTGGAAGAAGGGAGCTAGGACTGAGCCATGTGGTCAGCCTGGGAGCTTCCTGTCGCCCTGGCCCTTCCCGAGGTCACTTTGGTCTGGGAAGAGAGAACGCTTTCCAAAGTTGTCAAGCCCAGGGGACAGGCAGTGGCTGCAGGCTGGATTCCTGACCACTCACCAGGCCTGCTAGCCTGGCCCCCAAATGGTGCCAGCATGGGCCTCAGTGCCCTTCCCTGATCTGGGGATGGGGAGGAACTCCACACATGGCAACTGGGTCATTTCCCAGGACCCGTCTTCTGTGCGGGGTTGGCACACACTGTCCTGTCCCTCAGGGTTGGTGTTTGTCACTCTCCTTTGCTTGGCCAAGTGGAGGGACAGAATTAGCTCTCCATTCTCGCTCCCAAGGCTCTGTGAGCAGCCAAACCACTCTGGGGAGGGACCAAAATGGGGCTCCTGGGAATCTGCCCAAGGCTCTCCCCCCTGGTTCCTCTGGGAAAAGATCCAGGAAAAGACTGACAGCATCCTGGATGCTAAGGAGGGGCTGCCAGGCCCAGGCCCTGCCCTGCAATCCAGAGAAACGCCTGGGCTCTGGGAACCCGAGAGGTCCCCCCTCAGCCCAGGCAGCGGCATTCTCAGCAGGCCCTGGGGACGACTCGGCTGGGCTCCACTCACTCCCAGGGCCCGGTCAGATCCCAGGGGCCCTTGCCGCATTCCTGGCTTGTAGGCCGAACACAATTTCATGGAAACTTCAGGAGTCAGCTCCTGCTCAGAAAAGGTTAGCCTTGAGACCAGCAAATGGTGTAATGTTTACATTGCTGTCCTCCCACATAGTTGACTGCAATTCGAGTCCTAGACCTGGTGGCTTAAAACACGCTGGGCACATGTACATGCGTGCTCAAAAATCCCGAGAGAATGGAGAAGGGATTGCGGTGTGGCCATCCCCGTTGGAGGGAGATTTCTTGCTTTCTGTCTCTCTGTCTCTCCAGCGAGTACACATGCCCTATAGCAAAAACCTCTTTAAAAAAAAAAAGTCAGCCTGGAGCCAGACCATGAGCACAGAAATCTGCTATCCAAGGAGGGTCAGAAAAATGGGGGCTTGGGGCCAGAGGATAGTGTGGTGGTTAAAGATGCTGGACTCCCATGTGGCTGACTGTGGTTTGAATTTTGGACCTGGCAGCTGGATTTCTCACTTTCTCTGGTCAAATTTTAAAAACTAATAATAAAAGTTAAATAATGTTTAAAAAAAAAAACAAAAAATCAAAAAACGAGGGCTCAGCAGACAGGACCCCTACTTCATCATCCTCCTCTGTCCCTGTTGTGTTCAGCAGAACCGTTTTAGCAGCCCCCACACTTGGATGATGCATGGTGCTAAGGACCAAAATGAAGGTGACAGTGAGTCTTGGCCTGGCGCCTCATTGGCTGCCATGGTCAATCCAAAGAGGGGATCGTGGGCCAGATGAAGCAGGGTTCAAATTCCAACCCTGAGAGAGCCCCTGTCCCGCTCTGAGCCACTTTCTTCACCTCTGCAATGGGTTTCACAATGAGGGAGATTCAAAAAGTACATGGAACATACACATTAAGAAAAAACTAGGGACCAACAGTTAGCGTAATGGCTGTCACTGAACTCCCATGTAGTTGACCGTGATTCAAGTCCCGGACCCGGCAGCTTAGACTCATGCCGGGCGCGTGTGCGTGTGTGCCCAAGATCCTGGGAGGAGAATGAAGGAGAAGGGGTTCGAGTCCCAGACCTGGTGGCTTAAAACTCACGCCAGGTGCATGTGCATACGTGCCCAAAATCCTGAGAGGAGAATGGAGGAGAGATGATTGTGGTGATTCTCTCCGTATGCGTCTATAATACATCACCCCCTGGGGGGTGATTTCTCACTTTCTGTCTCTATTTCTCTGGCAGGTGCATGTGCCCTATAGTGAAAACCTCTCCAAAAAAAAAAGAAAGAAAGAAAGAAAAAAAAGAAAAAATTATATACATATTTCAAAGTTTTCTGCACCAAAGTAAATGTGTTTTAATTGCACTTTCCTAATGAACTTTTCAAAGTCCCTTTGTATCACCTCCCCAGAGGGGAGTGCTGACATCTGCCTCTTTAGGGTTCTGATTGCCCCTAGTGTGTCCCACTGAGAGCTGCTACGTCCTGTCCGTTTCCCTCACTGTTTTCATTTGTCCTCTGCTTTCATGGCATGGCAGGGGGCATTGGTGTCCACGGCCACCAACCGCTCCTCCTTGGGGGATTGCATGTGCTGCTGTGTGTGTGGGGGGTGGACCACGTGACCTGTTCTGGCCGATGAAATGTGAGCAGAAGCAACAAGCATTGTTTATTTTTGTTTGTTTAATTTGTCAAAGGGCATGTGTGCTTCCTGGAGAGACAGAATGAGAAAGCATTTCTCATGGAGAACGGTCACACTGCAATCCCTTCTCTTCTGTTTCTCCCTCCTTTCCAGGGAGGACATCTGCCCAGTGTGTTTATCAAGTTGCCAGGTCCAAGACTCAAACTGCGCAGTTGGCCACGTGGGATCCAGCCTCCTTTACCGCCATGCCACCAGCCGGCCTGACGGGCAGCAACGTTAAGATCCAATGCACATTTCTCCGGGGGAAACTCTGCCACTAGATATGGCCCCAGATGTTGCCTGTTCTGTTAGGCTGAGTTCCAGAGCAAAGAGGATGCAGCAGAGCGGTAGGCAGCCCCCAGGAAGAGTAGCATCAGGAAGACAGAGCCTGTATTGTCAGCCCCTGAGTATTGGGGATCATCCTGGCTAACCACATCATGGCTGTTGGAAGTCTTCAAAGTGGTCTCCGAGAGCTGAGTTTTCAGTCTTCAGGTGCTGCTTGACGGTGTCGATAATTAACACAGGTAAAATTGATGCCTCAGGACTGGGCCTGAATTGGTGGCCTGGTAGCTGTTGGTACTAGTGGCAAAACAGAGGGCAGCTCCCTGCAGACAAGTCCATGTGGCCACACCAGGGAAACAAAGCCCTCAACCACAGGGCTATTGCAAGGGAGGAGGGCTGGCAGGGCTGGCAAGGAACTAGAACCTCCCTCTGCCCCTGGCCTGGGCTGCAGTTTCTCTCCTGACCTCTGCCCACCCCCTCCACTTGCAGCAGACCAATTTTCTCTAAAGATGAGGTTGTGGTTGGGATGGCCCCTCCCAACTGCCCACCAAGGATTTGAACAACGGAACTCATGAAAGCCATCGCTTTTTTTTTTTTTTTAATTCCTGCCGTTCAACCAGTTTGCGCAAGCTGGGGATGAGTGGGCCTTGGAGGGAGAGGCAGAGCATCTGAGACAGACTCTCCTGGGAATAGTCTACGCACACGGCTGGGGCTGCTGGGACTTGAAGAGCAATGTACAATCGACTCTACGGAATCAGAAACGGACAGAGTGTCAAGGCGGCGCTGGCTGGTTTCTTGCCTCCCCATCTGGGTCAGAGGTACTCCTATCGGTCCTGTGCAAAGGTCCTGGGGCTGGCCTGAGGAGCAGCCAGAGTCTTCCCTGGGGACAGACAGGAGCAGTCCTGTTCACCTAGCAGAAGTGTGCCAAGGGACAGATGCGTGGGTTATGTGTCCAGGCACCGTGGCCCCCTCAGGCTCCATGGCTCTCGAGCGGGTCTCTGCATCCTGCCTCTATGTCCGCCCTTTGAAAGTGTTCATGCAGGTGTAGGTTCCTGAGAATCTGTGGATCTCCTCAAGTGCAGCCTGTGGGAGGATGCTGGGGGGGAGGGGCAAGGAGGAAAAGAAGATGGTCAGTGGGGTCAAGGACAGCGGCTGGGTCACTGATGTCCTCACAAGACGGGGTGGCAGGGTGATCTTGAACTCATGATCCTCCTGCTTCAGCCTCCCGAGTAGCTCAGATTACAGGCATGCACCACACTGGCTCTGGGGCCATTTCTTGTCTCTAGAACAGTGGTTCTCAAAGTGTGGTCCAGGCACTCTTGAGGGTACTTGAGCTCTCTTTGGGGGTTCAAACTAATATTTTTATAATACTAAGGTCAAACTATTTTTACAATAATACTACGATGTCATTTGGCTTCTTTTTTTTGGGAATTATTTTATTGAACTTTATTTATTTTATTTATGTGTTTATTTATTTTAATTTGACCAGAGAGGGACAGAATGTGTGTGTGTGTGTGTGTGTGTGTGTGAGAGAGAGAGAGAGAGAGAGAGAGAAAGAGAAAAAATGAAAAATAATTCAGAGAGAGAGAGAGAGAGAAAGTGAGAAAGCAAGCTGCAGGTCTAGGACTCAAACCGTGGTCAGCCATGTGGGAGTCCAGTGCCCTTAACCACCACGCCATGTGCCGGCCCTTCAATTGGCTTTTATACTCCCATTCTCTCATGAATGTACAGTAGTTTCCCAGAATCTACATGATATGGAATATCACAACAGATTAAAATCAGAGGCAGATACAAAAATCCAACCATGGGGGCTGGGAGGTTGGTGTAGTGGTTAAGATGCTGGATTCCCACATGGTGGACCACAGTTTGAGTGCCTGTTCTGGCAGCTTGCTTTCTCACTCCTTCACCCTGATCAAGTTAAAAAAATAATTATAATAAATAAAATAAAATAGAAAATTATTTAAACAAAATCTAGTCATATTGATGAAATCAGGTAACAAAAAGATTTGCAAAAATATAAAACAATGCCATCCTTGCTACATTTATTTTAATTTGGAAGCTATGATCACTTGTCATAAAAATACATTTATGTTGATAGAATGTGTTTGCTATTGCTATTTATATATGAATAAATACTGCAAATATATAAATCTTATTACATTGTTTTCATTTCTAATATGGTAGAAAGTGATGGATGCAACATGCATAAACTAAAGTTCTTTTGGTCCTTCAATACTTTTGAGCGAATAAAGGGGTTCTGAGACCAACATGTTTGAGAACCATTGCTCTACAGTAAGATTAGTGCATCCAGGGCACACTTGCTGCCACTCTTCACGCTCATGCCCACAGCAGACATGACTACTTGATCACTGCGTACTTCCTCTTTCCGACCAGGGCCCAGTCAGCGAAGGACAAATGGTTAAGCCTGACTGGAGTTTCCTCCCCAAGCCTGGTACCTTTTCAAGATAATGAGGGCATGCATCGTCCAGGGGAGCAGGAGGAGAGCCTGATTGAGCTGCACGGCCTCCACTGTCTTCCGGGCCACCGTCTCCGGCTTCAGTGGGGGAAAGAGGTTGGGAAACCTGAACGTGAGGAAGAGACACAGTGGATATCTCCTGGAGGAGCACGTGCTTCTGCTGGAAGCCTCGGTGAGGCTAACGTGTCAGGGTTACCCCTTTGGCTTTGTTGTTTGAGAGACTTTAAGGCCTGCTTGGAATACTCTGCAACCCCGGACTTGCTGGGAGTACATTTCCTCACTTCTTCCTGTCCATAGAACCTGTGAATGGGGCTCCCAGCTCTCAGAGGGTCTTTCCTAGAGAGTTACAGACTTCTAGCCCATCTGCCTGGGATCCATTCTCCAAAACTTTGCAGAGGCTCCCAGCACACCTGGACTCTTGCACATTCTCTAAGACCTGCACCATCTGGGCCCTGCCTGCCATTCTGAGGCCGTCCTCCTGACTGACTGTGCTGCAGCAGCACTGGCCCTTCTGTTCTCACCACCTTACGCTGTCCTGTCAGGGCCTTTCTCCAGCAGTCCCAGGGGCCTGGCTCGCTCGTCCAGGCTCCTCCCCTGGGAGGCGTCTCAGCCCAGTCCCTCCAAAGTGACCTCTGATCTGGGCCCCATGATAATCTCCTCAGCTGCGTTTGCCCCACCTATTGTAGAATGCCCTTGCCTGTTTGGTGGCTTCCTTGTTGAGAGCCTGTCTCCTCCATTGGACTGTGAATTCCTCAAGGATGGAGACCTGATCGGTCCTACTCCCACTCCTATTTAGCATCTAGTAGTGTCCAGCACGTAATAGGTATTTAACACACCCTTGCCAAATGGAGAAACACCCAACAACCTGCCATTCCTCAAATGTGTCCTACTTATCTGTCTAAAGGCAGGGACTTTGTCAGAAATGCCTTTCTCTGCTCAGCTAGCTGGTTCAATAACTCACATTCATTGATTCATTTGAACATTTACAGAGTGTTCTCTGTGGGACTTCACAAATGAAAGAAGATTGAATAAGCAAATAGCAGGGGCTTCTCATGCCTATTTAATGGCATCTGACCCTAGCTCCTATTCAATGAAGATATTCCCTAAGTGCCAGGCTCTTGGATCAACTACTCTCCCAACTTACAGAGAAGGAAACTGAGGCTTCAGTCAGTCAGTAGGACACTAGGGCTTCAAATCAGGCCTGCACAAGTTCTAAGCCAATTGCTTCATCGTCTCTACTCACTGTGCCTGTAGGTGTAGGGCTGATGTTGCTGGCTCTGGCTCCAATCCCACTAAGGGCTTGGGATCTGCTCAGACACCAGGAAGATTAGAGGTGATGAGTCAGTCCTAAGCCATGGGCAGCTCTTGGGCTTCCAACACGGGTGTGGCCTCAGTGGCTGTGGATCTCACCTGCTGCCCTATGCTTCCTTTGCTATCACGATGGTACTTCTGAGAGGCCCACAGCCCCCACCCCCACCCCCACACACACACACAGTCTGGACTGGCCAGGCCCCAGG